AAACGAATGGAAAAGAAAATACTACAAGATTTGCAGTTTGAACTGAATCGTCCAACAAGGTAAATTTTTCTTCAACGTTTGTTGCTTCACATGTAAATCGAGTGTGATGGTGATGAGCAGAGCTGTAAAAGATGTCTCATTGAAGGAAAACAAATACATAGGAGTTGGTCTTGTTCTGTTCGCTAAAATCGAACACACATGACTCTTAGAGTTCATGACTGACTGAATATTTGACCAGATAGAGATGAAACTTGAGTTCGAAGAGCAAGCATCGACGGACCTGTAACTTTGTCGAGAATGAGATAGTTTAGAGAGAAGTTTATTGTTTTGTTGAATGACCGAGCTCCGACTCATCGAAAGGTTGTCTCGCTGTAAAAACTTTTGTTATCATTTAGAGTAAGTTGTGGTTTTTTTGTCTCTTTGTAGTCTCCAGTTTTTACGTCGTTACTCGTTTGTGTCGTCAGCATCTGACGAACAACATTCAATTGGCAAATATTTAATTGATTTGACACTGTTAGATTATCATTGCATCAATTTGAAGCCATCGTTGATTGCTGCGTCAGCCACATACATTGCGCTCTATTTGTTAACGTACAAACCGGACGAATCATTTGATTATTATTGGCCAGAAGAATTGCGAATGATGACTCCCTACAAAACATATGAGCATTTATCTAATGGTATTAAAATATTAGCTACCCTTCTTCTTAAAATATCAACATCGAAACCAATTTTAAGTGAATATAATTTGTTGTTTAAAAAATACGAACCTGAACATCTGTCTGGTGCCAGTACATTTTGTGTTAAGCAACAAAAACTTGTTCATAAATTGGCAAATGGCTGTTGTTTGTAATAGATAATGATGTGTCTTTCTTCCTTGTACATATAAAAAATAATATGATGTTTTGCTTTTTTGTTTGCTGTCCTTTGTTTTCATTAATGTTCTGTCTTGCATCCCCGCATACTCAATGTAGAACTTCACCCTCTGTATCCCACATGCAATTAGATTGTTTCAGATAGCCGTCTGACTTCAAAAATATTTGTTCTTTTTGATTTTCTAGAGTTAAATAAGAAAATTTGTCGACTTAAACTAAGAGTTCATCTGTTTTTTTTCTTCAAGTACAGCAGCTTGCTCTTTTTTGTCTTGTAGAGACTTTTGCTTTGGTTTTATTCTATTTTTTCGTTAATCGCGCGCGGGTACAAATAGAAACTGGTTCTTCTTTTAAAGTCAAATAACAAAATGAAGTACAGGTTTCTACAGAATATCACTGTAAGATCGAGGATCACTCGAAATAGAAATATTTTTGTTTTTTTCGCATTGTTAATTTTGTTAATTGTGGATTATTTGGTTGTATTTGTTGTTCTTTATGTTCTTGTTCTGCGTGTATGTGTGTGTGTGTGACCGCGTGCTTAATTTGTCTTTGTTATGAATTTTTTGCATTGCAATGTGCATTTTTTGTTGGACCTACACTAGTACACTAGTAGGGTTTATACTCGTCTTACTTTATTTGAATGTGTTTTTATCTGTGAAATAAAGTAATTGATGTGCATTTGAGCACTTAAAACTGGAAAAAAGTTGTTTGAATTTATACCGTCTCATATACTGAAGGAGTTCACTTGACTGATCTTGTAAAATGAATAGTGAGCTCACAGTGTAAACGCAGAGTTAATCTTTCATAAAGATTAGATGCTACCAAGTAGCAACTGTTTAGTACCAGAGAAGACTTTTCAGAGAATTGACGAATATTAATACGGATTTCGAAGAGATAAATAGTCGGAGCAAAATACGATATCTTACAGCTTTCTTTAGAATATATGTGCGCGGTGAGTTGACTGATTACTTTTCGTTCTGATGTGACGAAAAGATAAATAGAGTCATATTGAGTAATTATGATAACTATAGCATTCAACGGGAAAGTTTGAACAATCTAAATTAGAAATTATATCAGCTTGTGGAAAATTTTCTGTTCTATTTTCGATACGAATTGCCATTTATTCGGATGTTACCTTAATTAGAACTTACGAAAATAAAAGAAAACAGTCATTCTTTTCATTTTTCATTTTTCTTCTTTGGGGTAATTATGATAATCCCGTGTAAATCACACAGATAGACAAAAAAACAACTTTCACCGTCTCTCAAATGCCTAGCTGTATAATGAATACAGCTACAGGTGTATAATGAATACAGTGTATTTTAAATGTATTTTTCTTCATCAAAATATTTAGAATAATTAAACTACAGCCTTAATTAGCAATCAGATCGTGAATAAGTAAAGCTATTCATGTATACTGTAAGTTCTCTAACTCTACGACAAAAAGCAATTGAAAATCAACATATCTAGCGCTAACTAAGACAATCGGTCATATACGCAATGATTTGAGCTTAAGTTAAATGAAACTAGAAGCCTATATACTTTCCAACAGAAAACATCGACATTTAATTTGAAGAAAAATATATCTGAAGATTTATTAAACAACATCGTTGACTATTTAATTATAGAAAATATACATGAATAATATAAGTTTGTGAATAATATAAGTTTGTGAATAATATAAGTTTGTGAATAATCGAAGTCAGCATTCAAATTCCTCCCATGTTTTAAATGTCATTATCAATCGCATAATCTTATACCTTGTACATCATGCACGAGATACGTATGTTCGAGTATGATACTTGAATGTACATATCTGTCTATTGGAAAATTTTATATCAGTCGATAACTGAGAATCACATCTCTCTACTCGTGCAATTATCTATTTATTGGTTTTCTCCGATAAACAAATGACCTAACTGTGCAAAAAATATTTGGGAAATTTCAAGTATTTATCATAATTACCCAGTATGACTATGCATCATTAATACTTTCTTTAGTACAGAGTCTAAGATTCAAATTACCAATATTTGAAGAAAAACAAATGTCAGGTATTTGGTATGAATAATATGCGTGATGTTTTCATGCAAATAAATTGTTTTGAATCGATATTATAGAGGGAATAAAGTGCTTGATATTTATGCAATGTTGCAAGAAAGGAAGAGACCTTAGTTTGTGGTTTCAAGTCCAGCATATTTTTTTTTCTCAGTATATAGTATTAAAGTGCATTCATTCTCAAGTACAATACAATGGTACAAAAAAATAATTGTGTAAATGTGATAACAAAGTCACTTTTTCTCTATGTATTGCATAATGCCTGCCGTTTTTCTTATTCAGATCACATCTCGAACGCGCGGCTTTTGTACACTTGTGTATAAGAAGTTTGACATACCACAACAAATGAAGAAAAAAGTGGGTGTGTTATACCATACGTTTTTCTATCAGCTCGATGCATGATCGACAACGTGGGTATAAAGAAAGGAATAAGAAAATTTTTTCTTTCTTTCTTTTTTCTTTTCTACAGTGTGATGTCAGTTATGAAAACTAAGTGTGTGCCTATCTGCATGATCAGTGTGTGGTACAAGTTACACCACGTATTGACTGTGTGATACAGTCACTCGCAAGGCAAAATTTAGTGCTCTTATACCTGTTTTTCTCTTTTACAGTTCAGATATACACATAAACTGTTATCACCGATCACTGCAAAAGGTGATTTAGATTATTTTAAAACTACATTGCATCATACCTATATATTTCACATGTAACTATATGAAAAAATCTTTTTCTGAATAAATGTTTTTTATGGAAGAGCCAAGGATACCCACACACTCCAGTTACGGTACATCGAATATGGACAATTATAAAGAATCGGTAGGTACTTGAGATGGTGAATAGGCAGATTTTAAATCCAAAAATTTATTTCTTATTTGCAGTCTGAGCGTAAATTGCAAGCAGCAGAAGATTTACTTTTGTTTAGTCGAGGTAATTCGACAACTAACAATATTCAAGAAAGAATATCTTGTTCTCAAGAACATGATATATCTCTAAAACCAAAGAAACCACATCCAAAATTTAGAAAGGTATTTTGACAACTACACTAATTTCAGTCTGAATCATAAATGGTCTTTTTAGTATGTAACTAATGAGCATGAACTACAATCTTCATCCTCGTTTAATAATCTTGTTTCATCGTCTCCCGATTCTGCCTCAATTATTTCCAATACGTCAAGGTCATCACCGCCAATCAATTCATTATTTCACCAAATGACATTGACTGCCAGTGAACCTATAGCTGTACAGCAGCAACAACAAGCATTAATCTCATCCACTGATCTCTTATACTCATCTCGTAACATAAGACAAGATTTATCATCCCCATCATCCGATGGCCCAACGGACAGTGACAGTGATTTTTATTCTCATCAAACCGATGACAATTCGTGTTCATCATTATCATATCATTCTTCATCGTCTCCAACGTCTCCTTCTTCTGAACAGTCTTCCAATGATTGCCATATTTTGTACATTAATATTAACGGCCAATACATCCCGATTGCAACAACAACATTTCCTCTTCAAACAGAAATCTTAACGCAACCAATAACTCTTATTCCACCACAATCGCCATTACTATCGGTCAGTAATCAAATCAACAAGAATACTTCAGAACCACCACTTCCACTACTACCACAAACACAACATGGTCCTTCAACAGTGGAACCAACCAATCAATCCTCCAATAGAAAGAAAAATTATGTTTGTTCACACAATGGATGTAAAAAAGCTTATTATAAAAGTTCACATTTGAAAGTGCATATGCGATTGCATACGGGTAAGTTATGTTGAATAATTATTTCTTACGAAAGGCGCGAGTTAGAAAAAGAAATCCATCGAACTAGAAGTGTTTATGAAACTAGTCGGAAGGGGGTTACGGGCTTAAAGAGAATTTTAAGTTTTTTACAAAGTATTTATTCGCAGCTATTCGTCTATGGCGTTCAGATTTTGTGTGGTATAGGCAAAGTAGAAGAGAAAGAAAGACAACCACAGCATTCTTATTGTATCTACAAATTTTAATCTAGTTTGAGCTATAACGTTGTTCAATTCAGCTTTAAAAACTACGGTGATAAATACTGCCGATTTCACAACTTGCTCAGATAGACAAAAGTAGATGAATAAAACAAAGCCACAAGCTATGCCCTTAGATTATTATTTACAGTACGCCCCTTCTTTGAATAGATGAAATTCCAAAAACGTTGGTCATCAGTTTGCTGTGGGTTAAAAATTGTTTTTCTGTTTTATACACATGCTTTTTGTCTTTGATTTCAATTCGGATGAATCAAAAACAGCTTTTTTTTGTACAAATGTTATTTGTCATCACAAATAAATGATGGAAAAAAAGAAGGCACACATGTTATCACCCAGGAGACACTACATTTTCTTTTTAGAAGATGTCAAACGCAATGCGTCATAGTCATATCTAAAAATATTTTACTGAATGATAATACAAAAGAATAATACAATCTTATTATCTGACGCATACAAATTAAATAGAATAGTTTTTTTTCTTCTATCGTTCCTTCACCAACACCCAGTTTTTGCGTTTTTCGTATATTATATACCTAAAAATAGCCATAATTGAAACAAAAATAGAAAATGGGTGTTTTATCGTATCTACTACGCCGTACTCTTTATGTACCTCGATAAGAATATATATCAAAGACCAAATTTGTCGATTAATGGCGTAATAGTGTGAACTATTAAAAATCTAACTGCTAAGAAAGTCTCATTAGGTTCAAGATAACTGAAAACAGAGAATTTAAAATGTATTAGTTTTTGGAGTTTCTACTCGTGACATTGTTTTTATTATTTTTAATTATTATTTGTTATTCATTTTAGGTGAAAAACCATTTCGTTGTTCGTGGTCAGATTGCCATAAAACATTTGCACGTTCCGATGAATTATCTCGTCATCGTCGAACTCATACGGGTGAAAAAAATCATGTTTGTACAAAATGTCAAAAAGCATTTATGCGTAGTGATCATTTAGCCAAACATTATAAACGTCATTCAACATCATGAACATTAATTAATTATTAATACAAAAAAAAAATGAAGACATGTAATAGTCAAATTTAATAACAAAAAATAAAAAAACGCATTGGAATTCTAAAAACAATTTCTTTTTTTCTTCATTTAAAATGTAAGTAGACTCTAGTCATGATATATATATATACATTTATGTGTGTGTGTGTGTGTGCTTATACGTATATGTTCCTATGATTTCTATCACTTTTTTGTTGTTATTTTAGAATAGTTAATATCTAACATTTTGTTGCTATTGCATAAAAGACAATCGACCTGTTTTGTTTTTCTTTTCTTTTTATAATGAGCATAAATTTTTTTTGTTTGTAAATAACAGAATATGTTACTATTTTTATTTTGTGTTTTCTTGAAACCATTTTACAGAACATTCAACTGAGTTGGAGATTTTTTTTGAAATTCTCTACTTTATATATTTAAAATTATATAATGTTAAAGTTATTGTTGTTACAATATTCATACAAAAAATCTAATGAATGATAGGTTAATAAAAAAGAATAAGAAGTTTCATAAGATATGATAAAATTCCTCTCAGTCTAGAAACTTAGTAAAATATGATCCTTTGGATTAGAAACATGACCTAGAGAAAACATAACAGACTCTTTTCTTTTACCTCTATTTATTCTCTGATAATAATAACTATTCAAATGTTCAACATGTGGACATAGATAAATGCCTATACAAAAAGCGTCAGACAACATTGACATGACGAGTGGTATTCTTGACGAGCATCGATATCGATCAACGATGTTTTTCGTCCGTCTGTTGAAAAAACTGATTCCTCACCATCATCATCATCAGCAGCAGCAGACATTTTACACCCTAAATAGAAGTCAAGGTCCACGTTGCACACCTTTTTATTTTTAAATTGTATACTTGGGTTCATTAGAACTAAACATACATCTGTTTCCCTCAATGTATTAATGCGCCTGTTTTGTTTCAGTTGTCCTGTCTCAGTATTTTAAAACTAAAACTTTCAAGCAAGTAGAGTATCAATGCTCTACCACTTTATTCACAACTTTTCTTTCATTTTTTTAAGTGATTCAAGTCAAGATTAGAGTATATGCTGTGTGTTAATTCTAAAAACTGGAGTCGATACTTATCGCCTCAGTGTGCATGTTTCATGATTAAAACACGTGCTCTTTATTATCTGAGTTTTCTTGTGACTTTTATTCGTTCATCTTGTCATATTTAATTAAATTTAAATTGTTTCTTTTGTTGAATAACATTAAAAGTCATGACCGAATAAAACCCTTTCAGCTGATGAAGGATCTTCGAATCGAGTTTGCGTGGTATTATGCAACCCCAGATTCAAATATCGAAGTCTGTTAGGACCACTAATACTTTCTTCAATAAGAACAAGTTTTATGCTACACGAAGAAGAGAATGTTACAAGACTCCATAGAAAGCTTAGTAATATTTGACATTAAATAACTCTGAAGAACGCATGTTTTGAGGAAAACAATTCACCCTCACTGTGTTCAACTTATGTACGAAACAAATCCTCTGTAATCACAAGAAAATAATGGATTATTGAACCTAAATACACATTACTCAAATGTTCAGTTTCGCCCTGCCATTATAGTTAGATTAGAAGAATAGTTTATTCGAATAAGTTTACAGGGAATCGAACCAAATTTGGTGATTGGCACAACCCTTTTAGCCTTCTCACTTCCTCCACTCTCTTTGTCCATATCATAGCCAATGGGTTCTGCATAAAGAGATGACTCTTGTTTGAATGATTGGTAACGGAATATTATTAGCTGGTCTATGTAAACACTATTTTTTTACGATCGTCTATGTCAATTTTTGTTCAACGTCGGTTTTGGGATTTCGAATGCATTGTAAAGATCAGTCAGCGGGTTTTAGTTCTATACCATCCTGTTTATTACATGTCTTATACAATGAATGAATGGCTTCAATTTTTGACGTTAATCTTATCGGTTTTATACGAAAAAAGTGCATCCAAGAAAATAAATACATCGCTACAGAGGAATTTCATGGAAGTTCGACCATTTTATACAAAATATATTTCGTACACTCCGAGATCTATCTCGAAAGAAATCGCATATAGTATGTCCTTGTTATGGCAAAAAGTCGAAGCTCAGTGGAGTTCTGAACTTTCTCAAAATTTTACGGCCACATTTTTTCTTGAAAGTAGTCGTGTTATACAACAATCAATACAATTTGATGAACTGAAATATCATGTTTATTAATCTAAAAATTTCCATTCCAACATGCAAACTGATTTGTTTGAACTATCCATTAAATGGTTTCAGCTGTCTTTATCATCAAATGTGTTGGAATGATTTTTTATTGGGCTTCAAAGCTCATTCTTGTTCCATCTTTAGGGATCAAGAACTTATGTCAATGATCGTATTCATCTTGGTCTAAATTTTACGACTAATCTTAATTGAACTTTACATATCGATACGTTTGTTTCTAATTGTAGTAAGACTGTTGGGGGTAGTCTAAATTAAATAGAGCAGAGGAACCAAAATGGATTCTTGAGGGATAGAACACGAATTAAGCTGTTCGGACGATGTCCCACCATCCATCATTGTCACAATTCTCCTCTGAAATAAATAACTTTAAAATCATTTAAGTAGCGAATTAGACAAACCGACATGCTTTCACTTCATGAGTAAATCATCATGATTGACTCTGCCAAATGCCTCAAAGGTGCTACTATTAGAGATTCCAGATCAAAACTGGTCGAAATATCTGAACTATGCAAACAAACTGAGTGATCTTTGCGTGATTCTTTAAAATAATCTGCTTGATTGGAATGAAAAAATTTATTGTTTCGAAGAAATTCGTAAACATGATTGAAAACAGCTCTTCAAAAGATTTTAAAAACAGAATTTAACAATGTAATAGATCTGTTATCTCCTGATTTAAACAAATTATGAACAAAACCTAGCTTCCAAAAGTCTGAAACAGTACTGGTATCAAGTGATTCGTTAGAAAAACTAACGGGTGGACCATAAAAGAATGGCTGTCTCAGTATTTTGCAAATATCTTGCTCAGTTTTCATTCTCAAAGCTTCAACATTTTTGTAAAAAAATCACTGCTTCATTCTCTACAAAAAACATATTGAACATTGTTTGATATATACGGTATACGGTATACCGTAGAAATAAAAGAATATAGATGAAATACTGCGAAACTTCAATTTCCATTGCTTTTAAACCCCAAACACAACGAGAAGATATTTATTTTGAACATGATGCTATGCAACAAAGTAGGATCAAAACGTACGCTCTGATACCTCGAAGTGTCGTCTTTCTTTTCATGTATCAGAGGTTGGCTTTGAACGTGTTTTTCTGATACAATAGGCTATTTTACTACAGTCTACTAAAAACAAGGAAAATTTCCATCTGGTCGCCTTGCCAGTGGAAAGGAAATGGAGCTATCGAACTTTCTCTGTTCGGATGTGACAAAAGAATTATTTTTCTTTAAGTTAAAACATATCAGACCTCAAAATATTTGATTTTGACCGATCTAAAAAAGTTTTCTCAAATTCTACCAAAACTGCAGTTTGAAAGCAGTGATTTTTGATAAAATCGGTATAAGCAAAACCTTCTCCCGTATAGGTATGCACCGGTATCGGTATTCATACCGAAATACCGATACCGAAAATACCGACTTTTTTTCACTTAGAATCTTTTGGATTTTTTCATTTGAAATGAGATGTTTT